GAAAAACATGATTTCGTAAGTGGGACTACGCTGCACGTCAAATATAACAAGATGGGCCGGGCACGGCAATGGTCTGATTGTGACATTCTGAGGGGTAACGATCTTCCCCATTGACAACGGCATGATCATTCGGTAACCCAGACCGGTCAGATATGCAAATAGTGCGCACATCACAATCAGACGTTTGCCAGTTCTAACTTTGTCGATCATCGCGATGCGATCGTTTAGATTGACGACGTTTCGCCAGTCTTCATCGATCAGGATTAGACAGTTTCGTACTTGATTCTTATAAAACAGCACGTAACCGTATTTGATTATTCCCACTATCGAGTATATCATCGTGCCCACGACTTTCAACCGCAAACGAACGTCCGTCAGTATCATGAACATATAGAGCACAGTCGGGATCGTCTCGCACAAGATAAGACCGATACACACAAAAGCCAACGTAACTGTCTCTATCAGCTCCAGACAAATGGAATTCGTGCGCGCGAATGGCCATATGCCTATTATGCGAGAGAAGAAGCGATTCATCGCGAAAGCGTTCTCTATGTCGTGTTCGTAATACTTGTTGGCAAACATCTTGAAAGACGGATTAATTTTTCAATTTTTTATACGAAATCTCTCCACTTTATGATATGATGATACTGTGTATCATGGAAACGCTTCTGCACGATACTGAGACGAAACGTGTCTATTCACCATTGATCGCAACAGCGTACACTGACGTACGTACGGCATCCTTTACTGGATACAAACGTAATTTATAATTCACTTGCGCCTGCGTTTCGAAGGGACTGAAAAGCCACGTCAAGCAGATGGCTAATGTATGTATGGAGAAACTTTCCAGGAGATTGCGTGCAGATATATTTATGATTTTTTCCTCATGGAAAGGAACAAAAAGTTTTTTTCCTGGAAGCTAGGAAAGAGTTAACGTTTCGTAAAGAAAACTTATAATAACAGTATTAGCAGAACGCAGTTCTTGACTTTATAGAGTCTTCGTAGAAAAAGGAGAAAAATCGTACTTATTACGAGACTATTTCTAACAATATTGTTTGTTGGTTATGTCATTGTGAATATATCTTTGGTCAAAACGTTATACAGTGCATTTAGATATTTTAGATAATAAGATTCAAGTTACGGTGCTGATTCGTTGTAGAATAATATTTGATCGCGTGCCATGCTAATGCTTTTTTGCGAAAATGATTTCGAAGCAAAATAGAAAAATGCTTCTTGCACAGCTCATTTGTATCATATAATACTGAAGCTGCTTGATACTTTAGGAAAAGTTTCAATGACATTTTGTTACATCTTTCGATTTTGTCGTCCCTGTGTCCGACCGATCGATACGGAACGGTTGGTAGTTGAAATTGAAGATCGTTATTCCAGATCGTTGGGTATTCCAGAAAGGCGCAAAATCAACAAGTCGCATTTGAGTTTTGAGTTTTCTCTAAGCTTTCGTTGACGTTTGACGTCTCGCGAGCGTCACCGGTTTTGACGAGCTAATTCGTGTTACAGAGGTGTTCTCTGTGTTCTTTGTTGGGTGTTCTAAACCTTCTTAACTTACAACCCAAGTTCTATATTTCCGCGAGTGCGTGAGTGCCGAGTCCGCGCCGAAGACGTAAAAATATATTTAATCAAGAATATATTGAAACTAAAACCACATCGTATTAATTAATGACTGAACTGCTTTCTATTTTAATATAAAAATTTTAATATATAGAAGTCGCACTAAGAAACACAAAATTTTTATACACATTTTTCTATATAAAAGAATTATATCAAAATCAAATATATGTTTAAGTATACTATGTATGTACAACAATAATACTAAACTTTGTTACCATTATGATGAGTTTGTGGTCGTAGCTTCAAAATAAAGAAGGAGATAAAACAGAAACGTTCAGTCTGCAGTTCTATTTATGTAGAAGTATGTGTGTTAAAATAATAAAAGCTGTTTTCATGACCTAGAAAACAAGAATAATATTTCACAGTTATTTTCTTATTATATTATCATAATTTTTCAAACGTATCATATCGCACTTATTCGGTATGATACAAAGGAAAAATGTGTATATCTCACGTTCTGATTTCAACGGACATTCAATCGATAATTAGTTATTATAGTTTGAATCATGTTAAAATAAGCCTCGGATGTTTTAAGGATTTCAAATATGTCTTATGTATAATATTTTATATTATAATAAATGGTAGATTCAGTTACTTTTTGTGACATAATTTGATCAAATTTAAGAATTATGTAAGTTTGAGCGTGCGTTGGAATAATCATAAATTACATAAAAATGTAAACAATTCTCCTAGTTATTAAAACGAAAAGCCTTTGTGTTTTATGGTTATCTAATAAATATTTACTTACCTAAATAAAGAAAAAGAACTCCATTTACGGTCTGAATTAAATCTTGGTAGCTAGGATCTTGGTCAATTGATTGTATATCATACGATCGTGTTTCACTTATTATTATTATTATTTACTTACTCATATTTTTTAAATAAATCTTGAAATATATTTATATCTTAATATTTTTATTATTTTATATACGCGTTCATTAGATGAATGAAAAATAAATCAGTAAGTCAAGAATTATATAACGAGATATGTATATGATTATAAACATTATTTGCAAATGTATTTTATTTTTTTATTTAAAACGGAGATATTTAAACAAGAAAAATATTATTTTTTTATATTACTACTTCTGATTTATAATTACAGATTTTTATTTTTAATGTTTTTTATCTATATAATTACGATTAGCTTAAATTACTTGGAATTGCTCGGAATTATTACGAAGTCTCAAAGGAATAGAATTATTTGTGAGGAAGGTAGGGTGTTTACAGGTTTCATGGTAGCCTACATTTTGCGCAGAAGTCTAGAGAGTAACTGTGCAAAATTTAGTCCAGATCGGTCAAAGGATTTAGGAGTTAACAAGGGACATTCAGACAGATATTCTAGTTTATACATTACGGTTAATTCTTAAAATTTACTCAACTGATCGAAGAAGATTTAAATATGTAACGGACAGCCTAACGATCTAAAATAAATGCATACGTAATTATTAATTATTTTTCTTTTCCAGAAGAACTTTTATGTTATTAGTTTTACCAGTAGATCAGTTCAAAAGAATATTTATGTCACTTACATTGCCAAATGTTCTGAGCGACAGATCAATGATATTTCCTGCTTTAAGTCTTAATGGAGTTATAGAAATGATTATGAGTAAAATCAATGATCGCGCTTTTGCATCCGGAAGATGATGCCATTCCAAAGTACATGCTGTTAACGCGACTTTGTCTCCCTAATTTTTATTAATTAATTACAAGCGTCAGTAATGCGAACGAAAAAAAATAACATTCCGCTAATATACCGCTTCATTACGGTTATTGTCTCCGATAGTGAATAACGGGCAACATACCTGATCGACGACTTGCTCGCCCATGTAGCAATATATAAATATGTTGAAACAGAGCATTGTTAGCGCAATGATAAATGAGCACAATCCAACAATATTATAATTTTCCCACTCCTGTAAATTGAAAACAATCTTATTAATTTTTTTGTACAACTTGACACCATAACGCCGAGTACTCTGTCATGTCACGTTTATCTAAACTTATATTTTCCTTAAAACTCAACGTTACATAAATATTTCTGCGCACCATCATCATGTAATAACCCGCGAGGCATATCAGCAAGGTTGATCCCATGACTTCTATTAAATTTGGATACTGTGTGGTATTCTGCACCAATTGTAAGAAACTAAAATGCATGCCGAGAAAACTATGAAAATTGTTTTTAACAAAAATTACTAGTTGTTAATCCAATATTTTTTCGTATAATTGATGACACGTTACCCATTTTGCGTAGAACCTATCGCGTATTAAGCTCTGACATAGTCTCTAGTGAAGTTAGAATTACATTAAATAATCTGCGAATAGACCTCGTCATCATTGTACGCAAGAAAGAACTCACTTTCTTATTTTAATTTGATGCTCCACGATAGTGGCCAATTTCTTGTTCAAGTTTTCCGGTCGACTCTCATTCACGAAATCATTCATTAACGTCACGAGTATGTCCGACTGCACGCAAAAGTGCATCGCGCAAATGGTCACGAAACTGAAGGTTGCCACCGTAATCGTGTACTTTATAAATCCCGCAATAAATTCTATGAAAAACATGATTTCGTAAGTGGGACTACGCTGCACGTCAAATATAACAAGATGGGCCGGGCACGGCAATGGTCTGATTGTGACATTCTGAGGGGTAACGATCTTCCCCATTGACAATGGCATGATCATTCGGTAACCCAAACCGGTCAGATATGCAAATAGTGCGCACATCACAATCAGACGTTTGCCAGTTCTGACTTTGTCGATCATCGCGATGCGATCGCTTGGATTGACGACGTTTCGCCAGTCTTCATCGATCAGCATTAGACAGTTTCGTACTTGATTCTTGTAAAACAGCACGTAAACGTATTTGATTATTCCCACTATCGAGTATATCACCGCGCCCATGACTTTCAGCCGCAAACGAACGTCCGTCAGTATTATGAACATATAGAGTACAATCGGAATCGTCTCGCACAAGATAAAACCGATACACAGAAAAGCCAACGTAACTGTCTCTATCAGCTCCAGATGAATGGAATTCGTGCGCGCGAATGGCCATGTGCCTATTATGCGAGAGAAGAAGCGATTCATCGCGAAAACGTTCTCTATGTCGTGTTCGTAATACTTGTTGGCAAACATCTTGAGAGGCGGATTGATTTTACAATTTTTTATATGAAATCTTTCCACTTTATGATATGATGATACTGTGTATAGCATGGAAACGCTTCTGCACGATACTGATTGTGAGACGAAACGTGTCTATTCACCATTGATCGCAACAGCGTACACTGACATACGGCATCCTTCACTGGATACAAACGTGATTTATAATTCACGTGCGCCTGCGTTTCGAAGGGACTGAAAAGCCACGTCAAGCAGATGGCTTATGTATGTATATGGAGAAACTTTCGAAGTTGCGTGCAGATCTGTTTATTATTTTTTTCTCATGGAAAGGAACAAAGAGTTTTTCTCCTGGAAGCTAGAAAAGAGTTAACGTTTCGTAAAGGAAACTTATAACAGCAGTATAAGCAAAACGTAGTTTTTGACTTGGCAGATTATCCGTGGAAAAGTAACTGTTCATATCACTATATCCCAAACAATATTGTTTGTTGATTATATTACTGTGATCATTTATTTTATTGAAATGTACAGTGCATTTAGATAATAAGATTCGAGTTACGGTGTTCCATATAGAATAATATTTGATCGCGTGCCATGCTTTGGAGATTTTACCCAGGTAAGAAGCACATGTCATTTTGACGTCAGAAGACGTCAAAAGGACAGACTTTTGACGTCAATTAACGTCAAAATGATATGTGCTTCTTACCAGGGCAGTATCACGCGAGGTGGACTTTTGCAGCAAAATAGAATAATGCTTATTGCGTAACTCATTTATATCATATAATACTGAAGTGCAGCTTAATATTTTATGCTAAGAAGAGTTATGCAATCAATATGATATAAGGATATATTTAAACCAAGATCACATCGTATTATGCTATCGCGTCTAAATTTTTTTTGCATGTTTATGTCTTTTCAAGCATATTGCAATGTTACCGATACAACTTAACTTAGCTAGTTACGTAGAACGAACATTGACTGACAATTTATGTGTTCTGAAGTATATACGATACTTCAATCTGTTCGCGTATACAATCATGCGCAATTGTTAACGGATGTACAACAGCATTGTTTTTGTACATACGTGATTGATAAATATAAAATTACATGTTTAGTTATTTCTCTTAATATCTACTAAATGCTTGTGTTTATCTTGCAATGAAATGAGAATACTGATTATATAGAGAGATAAAATAGTAACTGCGTAACTTTATTAAAAACTGAACTGTTTTCTATGAAATTTTAATATAATTAAACCGCACTAAGAAACAAAAATTTGTACACACATTTTTATATAGATAAATGAAAAATAAATCAGTAGAATCAAGAGTTATACAACGTCGTTTGAATATGATCATTAACATTTGTAAATGAATTCAATGTTTCATTTGGAAAGGAGATATTTGAAGAACAAAAACATTATTTTACATTACTACTTCAATTCTCTAGTTACAGATTTTTATTGCTACTATTTCATCTATATATTTACAACTAGCTCAAACTATCCGGCGTTTCTCAGGATTATCACAAAGTATTAAAGGGATAAAATATCAGGGGAAAAGGTATTCATAGCAGCCTATATTTTCCGCTGGGTTCTGGAGAGTAACTATCCAAATTTGGTCCAGATCGGTCAAAGGGTTTAGCTGTTATTAGAGAATATACAGATAGACGTTCTAGTCTATACATCACAATTAATTTTTTAAGTTTAGTCAAGTGATCGAAGAAGATTTAAATATGTAACGGACATTTTAACGACCTAAAATAAATGTATATGTGGTTATTAATTGCTTTTCCTCCGTGCAGGAATTTCTATATATGCTACAAGTTTTATTATTAGATAAGTTTAGAAGAATGCTTATGTCACTTACGTTGCCGAACATTCTGTGGGATAGATCAATGACATTTCCCGCTTTAAGTTTTAATGGATTTTCAGAAACGACTATAAGTAAAATCAATGTTCGTGCTTTTGCATTCGGAAGATGATGCCATTCCAAAGTGCATGCTGTTAATGCTACTTTCTCTCCCTAATTTTTAATAATTAATTACAAGCGTCAGTAATGCAAAAAAAAATCAGTTAGTAATACGAAAAAAAAAATAACATTCCGCTAATGTTCCGATTCATTATTTTTCATATATTTTACAGTTATCGCTTCCGACGATGAACAACGATTCAACTACATACCTGCTCGATGACTTGCTCGCCCATGTAGGAATAGATAAATACGTTGAAACAGAACATTGTTAATGCAACAATGTATGAGCACAGTCGAAGAATATTAAAATTTTCCCATTCCTGTAAATTGAACAATCTTATTAATTCTTTTTTACAGAACACGCGACACAACGTATTTTGCTACGCGACGCGTTCATATCTATTCTTATATTTCGCTTAAAATTCTTTGTTACGTAAATATTTCTGCGCACCATCATCATGTAATAACCCGCGAGGCATATCAGCAAGGTTGATCCCATGACTTCTATTAAATTTGGATACTGTGTGGTATTCTGCACCAATTGTAAGAAACTAAAATGCATGCGGTGAAAACTATGAAAATCGTGTTTAACAAAAATTGTTAGTTGCTAATCCAATATTTCTTCGATAACTGATGACACGTTACCCATTTTGCGTAGAACCTATCGCGTATTAAGCTCTGACATAGTCTCTAGTGAAGTTAGAATTACATTAAAGAATCTGCGAATGGACCCCGTCATCATTGTACGCAAGAAAGAACTCACTTTCTTATTTTAATTTGATGCTCCACGATAGTGGCCAACTTCTTGTTCAAGTTCTCCGGTCGACTCTCATTCACGAAATCATTCATTAACGTTATGAGTATGTCCGACTGCACGCAAAAGTGCATCGCGCAAAATGTCACGAAACTAAAGGTTGCCACCGTGATCGTGTACTTAATAAATCCCGTACAAAATTGCATGAGATATACGATTTCGTAAACGGGGGTACGCTGAACGTCAAATATAACGAGGTGGGCCGCGCACGGCAATGGTCTGATCGTGACATTCTGAGGAGTAACGATCTTCCCCAGTGACAAAGGCGTGATCATTCGGAAACCCACGCCGGTAAGATATGCAAATAGTGCGCACATCACAATCAGACGTTTGCCAGTTCTGACTTTGTCGATCATCGCGGTGCGATCGGTTGGATTGACGACGTTTCGCCAGTCTTCGTCGACCAGCATTAGACAGTTTCGTACTTGATTCTTGTTAATTAGCAGGTAGCCGTATTTAATTATTCCTACTAACGAGTATATCGTGCAGCCCACGACTTTCAGCCTCAAACGAATGTCCGTCAGTATCATGAACATGTAGAGTACAGTCGAGATTGTCTCGCACAAGATAAGACCGATACACACAAAGGCCAGCGTGACTCTCTCTATCAGCTCCAGATGAATGGAATTCGTGCGCGCGAATGGCCATATGCCTAACATGCGAAAGAAGAAGCGATTCATCGCGAAAGCGTTCTCTATGTCGCGTTCGTAATACTTGTTTGCAAACATTTTGAGAGACGGATTGATTTTACAATTTCTTATACGAAGTCTTTTTACTTTATAGCACGATGATATCATGCAGCATGGAAACACTTCTGTAACGCACGATACCGATGCGAACCGTGTCTGTTCGTCACTGATCGCAGCAGCGTACAGTATCCTTCGATGAGTACAAACGTAATTCATAATTCACGTGCGCCTGCGTATCAAGGGGACTGAAAAGCCACGTCAAGCAGATGGCTAATGTATGCGTAGAGAAACTTTCGAAGGGGTTGCGTGCAGATCTATTTGATTTTCTTTCATGGGGAAAGGAACAAAAAGTTTTTTCCTGCAAGCTAGGAAAAAGTCAACGTTTCGTAAAGAAAACTTATAATAGCAATGCAAGCAAAACGCTGTTCTTAACTTGGCAGAGTATCCGTGGAAAAGTAACCGTACTTTACCACGTCAATATATCTCAAACAATATTGTTTGTTGATTATATCGTTGTGACTATCTTTATATCTTTTATTATAATGTACAGTAAAATCAGATGCTAAGAGTTACAGTGGTCCGTACGTATAGAATAATATTTAATGCGTGCCATCCTAATGCTTTGGAAATTTTAATACCGCGGTTGGACTTTCACGTGCGGTAAAGATTTCGGAGCAAAATAGAATAAAGCTTATTGCACAGCTCATTTATATCATATACTGAAATGCTGCTTGATACTTTAAATCAAGAAAAGTTATGCAATCGATGATATTGAAACATATTCACACACAGATCACGTCGTATTTTTTTCACACATTGCAATGTTACCGATGCATTTAACTTAGCTAGTTACGAAGAACGAACGTTGATTGACAATTTATGTTTTCTAGTTACATCATATGATATTTCAATCTGCTCGCGTACTACAATCACGTGCAATAATTATCGGATATAAAGCAACATTGTTTTCGTATTTATGTGACTAATAAATATAAAATTATATGTTTGGTTATTTTTTAATTTTTACTGGATGCCTTTATTCATCTTGCAATGAAATAATCATATGGCTTATATAGAATGACAAAATAGTAATTGCACAACTTAATTAATGAATGAACTGCTGCTTTCTGTAAAATTTTAATGTACCGTTAAACTGTACTAAAAAACAAAAATTCTTCACGCACGTTTCTATATAATAAAAATATATAAAAACCAAGAATATATTTAAGCAATCTATATATATACATCATACCAAGCTTTGTTATCTCTATGATGAGTTCGTAGTCGTAGTTTCAAGTTGAATATTATAGCAGAACCGTTCATTTAGTTAGGTTTAGAAGCATGTTGAAATACGTAAGAGTTGTCTTCACGACCTAAAAAACGAGCATAATATCTCGCAGTTATTTCCTAATTATTTCGTTATGATTTCTTTCACCTAGTGCAATAGATTGATTAAGAAGAGTTCTTTGATTGATCCATTATGATGATAATAATACCTACTAGATAACGTTATTAATTGTATTGTTAGTTTTTGTGCTGATTTCCGAAAAAAATAAACGAATGCTTTTGAACATAAATTCTTACATCGCCATATGTCTTAAATGATAGATCCATGATCTTGCCAGCAGTAATCTTGACGGGCATATTTGACATGATTACTATAAGGATGATCCCCCGTGCTTCCTTATTCGGAAGACGATACCACTCGAGCACGCAAGATGTTCTAGCTACTTTTTCTGCCTGTTATTAATATTATAGAACTCATGAAGCAAAATTTTTATAGATTTAAACATCACTTTAAGAACATTACAGAAACATTTCCAACAATATCTGCTCGAATACTGTCTTGTATTGAAAAACAAATAGCATTATCATATATTATATACACTATTAATATAACATATATTAATATTGCATAATATAATTCTTTCCTGAAAATAATAATACACCAATAATAACACACCTGAACGGTAAGTTGTTCACCAGTGTAACAAAACATAAACATATTTATCATCATGGATATAACTGATGTGAAGTAAGAGCACATAGCCATCGTATTACTATTTTCCCATTCCTATAAATGTTACATTATTGGACATTTCTTTTTGTTCCGTTTATTGAATTTTTCGAGTATATATAAAATTACGAACCATTATTATAAAATATCCTAAAAGGCACGCTAGTATCGTGCATCCCGTCAATTCTATTAGACATGCTTGTTGTAAAGTATTCTCTACCAATTGTAAAAAACTGAAATGTCGATGATACTGAATCAACACATTCCGGAAATGAGAAAATAGAATTAACTACATTCTGCATATATATAATGTTAATTACAGAATAATTAATTATTACTGACGTTAAGTTAATTTTCGTATTAGTGGCTTCAATAAAAAGTCCCAGACTCTTACCTTCGAATTCTTAATTGATGTGCAACCATTTTAGCTAGCTTCCTATTCACTTCTTGTTTCTTTTGCCATTGCTCCTCGACGAGATTTCTCATCAGATACACCAAGATCTGTAACTGGCCGCAGGCGTGCATCACGAAGACAGCACCAAGACCACATAAACCTGTCGCTATCGAGGTAGTAACTACCCCGGATAATATCTGTATTGCAAAGATAAATTCATAAATGGGGCTGACTTGTGCATTAAGGGAAAAAAAGTAAGCCGGGCAGGGCAGAGGTCTGATCGTAATATTTTGCGCAGTGACGATTTTTCCCTTGGCAAACGGCAGGATCAATCGAAAGGAGAGCCCGCTGCTGTACAGGAAAACAGCGCAAAGTGTGACCAGACGTCTTCCGATCTTCGCGGACTCGATCATCGCGTCTCGTGATCTCGCGCTGGTAACTGTCTTATAATCCTCCTCGATGTGCTTCAAACAACGTATGATATCTCTTTCATGAAAAACCATACTGCTGTATTTACTACCGGCCATGAAACCGTAGAGAAGCAGAGGAATCGTTCGAACCCTGATGCGTGTTCTCTTCTCAATCAACCAAAAACAGACACCCGGAATAAGTAC